AACAAGAGACAAAGAAAGACACCATATAATAATAAAGGGGACAATCCAACAAGGAGGTAAAAATTATGAACATTTATGCACCCAACATGGGAGCACCCAAATACGTAAAATAGTTAATAACAAACATTAAAGAACTAATTGGTAATATCCAATAATAGTAGGGGACTTTAACACCCCACTTGCATTAATGGACAGATGGTGTAAACAGAAAATCAACAAGGAAACAATGGCTTTGAATGGTACATTGGGTCAGATGGACTTAACAGATACATTAACATCCCACCCTAAAATAGCAGAATACACATTCTTTTCAAGTGCGCATGGGACATTCTCCAGAATAGATCACATATTAGCCCACAAAACAAACCTCAACAAATTCAAGGAGAATGAAATCGTACCTTGCACCTTTTCTGACCACTAGGCTATGAAACTAGAGGTCAACCACAAGAAAAAGCTGGGAAGAGCACAAGTACATGGAGGTTAAATAACATGTTACTAAACAATGAAAGGGTCAAACAGGAAATCAAAGAAGAAATAAAAAAGTACACAGAAACAAAAATGAAAACACAACAACCCAAAACCTTTGGGATGCAGCAAAAGCAGTCTAAGACGGAAGATTATAGCAATGCAGGCCTACCTCAAGAAGCAAGAAAAATCGCAAATAACCTAATCTTCCACCTAAAGAAGCTAGAAAAAGAACAACAAACAAAACCTAAAACCTGTAGAAGGAAGGAAATAATAAAGATTAGAGCAGAAATAAATGAATAAATGAATAAATGAATAAAAAAACAGCAGAAGAGATCAACGAAACCAGGAGCTGATTCTTTGAAAAGATCAACAAAATTGATAAACCTCTAGCCAGAATTATCAAACGTAAAGGGAGAGAGAGAGATTGAGAGAGAGAAAGAGAAAGGACTCAAACAAAATCATGAAAGAAAGAGGAGAAATAACAACCAACACCACAGAAATACAATTATAAGAGAATATTATGAAAAACCAAAATGCCAATGAATTGAACAACCTAGAATAAATGGATAAATGCTGAGAAACATACACCTACCAAAACTGATATAGGAGGAAATAGAAAATTTGAACAGCCTGATAACCAGTAAAGAAATTGAATCAGTACTCAAAAAATTCCCCAAGAGCAAAAGTCCAGGAACACATGGTTACACAAGTGAATTCTACCAAATATTTAAAGAGTTAATATCTATTTGTCTCAAACCATTCCAAAAAACTGAAAAGGAAGGAAAACTTCCAAATTCATTCTATGAGGCCAGCATTACCCTGATACCAAAACCAGATAAAGAAACCACCAAAAAAGAGAACTACAGGCCAATATCCCTGATGAACACAGATGCAAAAATCCTCACCAAAATACTAGCAAACCAAATCCAACAATACATTAAAGAAATCATTCACCATGATCAAATGGGATTTATTCCGGGCTTGCAAGTCTGTTTCAATATTCACAAATCAATCAGTGTGATACATCACCTCAATAAGAGAAAGGATAAGAACCATATGATCATTTCAAAAGATACAGAAAAACATTTGACAAAGTCCAACACCCATTCATGATAAAAACCCTCAACAAAGTAAGTTTAGAGGGAACATACCTCAACATAATAAAGACCATATAGGAGAAATCCACAGCTGACATCATCCTTAATAGGGCAGAACCGAGACCTTTTCCCCTACGGTCAGGAACAAAACAAGGATGTATATTCTCACCACTTTTATTCCACATAGTAGTGGAAGCCACAGCAATCAGACAACAAAAAAGACATAAAAGGCATCCAAATCAGTAAGGAAGAAGTAAAACTTTCACTATTTGCAGATGACTATGTAGAGAACTTGAAAGACTCCACCAAAAAACTGCTAAAACTGATACGCGAATTCAGTCAAGTCACAGGATACAGAATCAATATACAGAAATCTGTTGCATTTCTATACACCAATAATGAAGCAACAGAAAGAAAAATTAAGACAATAATCCCATTTACAATTTTACCCAATATAATAAGATACCTAAGAATAAACTTAACCAAAGAGGTGAAAGATCTGTACTCTGAAAACTATAAAACACTGATGAAAGAAATTGAAGATGACAGAAAGAAATGGAAAAATATTCCATGCTCATGGATTGGAAGAACAAATACTGTGAAAATGTCTATACTACCCAGAGAAATCAACAGATTTAAAGTAATCCCTATCAAAATACCAACAGCATTTTTCACAGAACTAGAACAAACAGTCCTAAAATTTGTATGGACCCACAAAAGACCCCAAGTAACCAAAGTAATCTTGAAAAAGAAAAGCAAAGTTGGTGGACTCCAAGTTATATTACAAAGCTGTAGTAATCAAAACAGTATGGACTGGCACAAAAATAGACACATAGATCAATAGAACAGAATAGAAAATAAACAGAAATAAACTCACAATTATATGGTCAATTAATCTTTGGCAAAGCAGGAAAGAACATCTAATGGGAAAAAGTCTCTTCAGCAAATGGTGTTGGGAAAACTGGTCAGCTACATGCAGAAAAATGAAACTTCTTACACCATGCACAAAAATAAATTCAAAATGGATTAAAGACCTAAATGTGAGACATGAAACCATAAAATCCTAGAAGAGAGCACAGGTAGTAATGGCTCTAACACTGGCTGTAGCAACATTTTTCTAGATATGTTTCCTGAGGCAAGGGAAACAAAAGCAAAAATAAACTATTGGGACTACATCAAAATAAAAAGCTTCTACACAGTGAAGGAAACAATGAACAAAGCTAAAAGGCAACCTATGGAATGGGAGAAGATTTTTGCAAATGATGTATCTGATAAAGGGCTAATATCCAAAATATATAAAGAACTTATCAAACTCAACACCCAAAAAACAAATAATCCAGTTAAGAAATGGGTGGTAGACATGAATAGGCATTTTTCCAAAGAAGACATACAGATGGCCAACAGACACATGAAAAGATGCTCAACATCACTTATCAGGGAAATGCAAATCAAAACTACAATGAGATATCACCTCATGACTGTCAGAATGGCTAAAATCAACAACACAAGAAACAACAGGTGTTGGTAAGGATATGGAGAAAAAGGAATCCTTACGTACTGTTGGTGGGAATGCAAACTGGTGCAGCCACTGTGGAAAAGAGTATGGGTTTTCCTCAAAAAGTTAAAAATAGAAGCACCTTACGATCCAGCAATTTTACCACTGAGTATTTACCCAAAGAATACAAGAACATTAATTCAAAGGGATATGGGCACCCCTATGTTTATAGTGGCATTATTTACAATAGCCAAGATATGGAAGCCACTCAAGTGTTCATTGATTGATGAATGGATAAAGATGTGGTGTGTGTGTGTGTGTGTGTATAATATTCCATTATATTTGTATAATAGAATATTATTATTCAACTGTAAAAAAGAATGAAATCTTGCCATTTGCAATGACATGGATGGAGCTAGAGAGTACAATGCTAAGGGAAAAAAGTCAGTCAGAGAAAGACAAATGCCATATGATTTCATTCACATGTGGAATTTGAGAAACAAAACAAAAGAGCAAAGAGGAAAAAAGGAGAGAGAGATAGAAAGAGAGAGACAAATCAAGAAATAGTCTCTTAAATATAGAGTACCATCTGATGGTTATCAGAGGGGAGGCGGGTGGGGCGATGTGTGAAATAGGTGATGGGGGATTAAGGAGTGCACCTGTTGTGATGAGCATAGCATGATGTATGGAACTACCAAATTACTATATTGTACACCTGAAGCTAATGTAAGACTATATGTTAGCTCACTGGAATTAAAATAAGAACTTAGAACAAAACAAAACAAAGAAAAAAAATGAGGCCTCAGTGGAGGAAGGAGTGTCTAGGGTTACCAGGAAAAGTAGTGGCATCATTAGATATCTAGAAGAAGATCAGAACTTAAGAAGACAGCGGATTAGCCTGATAGCCCAGAGGACCCAGACAGAGGGACTATAGGACGATGATGTAGAGGGCACAGCACAGAAGCTTAGAATTGCCATGGGTGAGGAGTGGTAGGCAGGACATGATGGCAGAGACCTTCTGGGTCCCAACAGAGAAAACTCCCATAGCAAAACTAAATTGGAGCACCTGAATCCTTATGCCTCACCTACCCACCCTGAGAGATCTCAGTAGTTGTCTCGAGCCTAAGAGATCCCCAAAAGCTGGAAGACTTGACTAAAATTTTGATGTTTTACACATAGGAATTTTCCTTTCAGTAATTTTTCCTAATGGCATATCTAGAGTAGTGTCCAAACATGTACATAAGTGATATTCACCACCATTTTGTTTATAATAGCAAAAAAATTTGGAAAATGGGTCATTTGTTTCTTATATTTTTCTATATTTTAAATTTTGTAACAAACTGTGTAACTTTTATAATCATAAATCAAGAATAAAACACAAAAAGATGCAAGCAAAGTAATAGAAAATTACTTGGAAAAGCCTTCCTCAGATCATTTTATTCCTATTATTATAAAATACTGTTTGTAAGAATTAAGTTAGAGATAACATTTTGAAATCTTCCCCATGTACCATCCTTATTAATAATCTAGTTTCTTTCCTTACAAGCTTTCAGTTATTGTTGGCCCATGGAAAGAAAGTCCTATGTCACCTGCGGAAGGCAGTTCCTATCAAACAGGCAGGGGTGCTGGTAGGAGCTTAGAGATTAGAGATTAGAGAGATTAGAGAGATTAAAGCAAGGGTGAAGAGATCACCTGCATCCCTGAGAAGAGCCTCAGTTCTCTTATCTCTTATCTGTGTGTCAGCAGTGAAATTATAACCTCCCTCAACATGCAGGCACCATGGGTAGTCCAACTTTGTATAACTAGTACTGAAAACTTAGAGATGTATATAACAGGTACTCAAAAATACTTATTATTAAGTGCATGATTAATTAGCCTTGTTTTACTTTCATTTTAAAACTTTCAAAGTAAGTTAAAAATTTAAGTTAGAATATACTTACAATTGAACCAAAGGGTGAAACTTTTCTCCGAAATCAAGTCTCAATGGGCAGCCATATTTTTTCCAATTATATTTTACTCTCTAGAAAAGGAAAAATGCTTTAGTTATTTTCTATATTTGGCTGGTTGATAAAATTATAGTTTTCTTACCAAGTTTTTAGATGGTTGATTCCTCAGGTATGACCTATAAAAAAGACATTTTTCATTACTTATTTTTCTTTCCTCTTTTTAAACTTAAAAATTAAAGCCATTACTTTGTTCAGTAAGGAGGTATCACAAAAATTAAACAAATAAACATAATTACAAAATACTCCCCAATTGTGTGGAGATTAAATACACACTTCTAAATAATACATGCATCAAAGAAGAAATCTTAAGAGAAATTTAAAGATTTTGAATTAAATGAAAATGAAAACACAACTTATCAAAATTTGTGAGATGCAGCAACAGTAGTACCTAGAGGTAAATTTGTAGCAATGAACATATATATTAGAAAAGATTGATGTTAATAGGAATAAATACTAGCTGATTCTAAATTATTGGTACTAATAACTAATATAAAACAATGCTTATGTTAAAAATATTTCTTACTTTTCAATAACGTAAAAGAAATCATGCTGAAGACAGTCTTTTTTATTAAATCTACAAAAAATAGAACATGATGAAGTTGTAATATCATCATTCCTTATACACTTGCACAAACATTTAATCATTTAACTCAGTGATTCTCAAACTTGAGAGTATCACAGAATCATCACTTACTGAATTAGAATCCTGGGGTTAATGTGTGGCCCTAGCAGTTCGTTTTTTTTTTTTTTTTTTTTTTAAGATTTTATTTATTTATTTTAGAGAGAGAGAGAGAGAGCACACGCACAAGAGTGGGGGTAGGAGCAGAGGGAGAGGGAGATTCTCAAGCAGGCTCCATGCTCAGCAGAGAGTCCCATGCAGGGTTCGATCTCACCACCCTGAGATCATGACCTGAGCCAAAATCAAGAGTTGGAGGCTTAACCAACAGAGCCACCCAGGTGCACAATGGCCCTAGTATTTCTATTTTTAAAAATAAATGTTTCTGAGGACATCAGAATTTGAAACATACTGATTTATCTATATTTGATACATGTGAAAAATTCAATGAAAATTTATCAAAATGAAGATAAATTTCTTTGGGCTATTTTATTCCTCATAATTGTTGTAAAAAACACAGATTTCTAATTGCTACTGGAGACTCAGTTGTGCAGGTAAGGAGCTACTTTAAGGTGGCACATAATTTCTGGTTAGTGTTCATGCAAACATAAGGCTATCATGGTCTATAAAATGATAAAGTTTTCAATAAGTTAAATTGTTCATTTGACCATTTTTGCTGGCTACTTCCAGTGTAACTCAGAAGGAACCTTGGTCACCACTGTGTTTAGATAGATATTTGAAGTCTAGACCATTTCCCACCCTGAAACACAAAATAGACCCCATGAGATGCCCTCCATCATGAACATCTCTCCTGTCACAGGTACCTTGGACCCCATGGGCCTTCTTTCATGACTGTGAAAACCTCAGGCCCATCACAACCTGAATTCAAGATATTAGGGCCATTTTTAGGGTTCCAGAACAGTGGGTCATTAAGAGGCCTGGAGTAAGGTTCTAAAATCTGTGTTTTTCAAACATGCTCTCCAGGTAGGTCTGATGAACAACCAGCCTTGACGATTGCCATATAGACCCTCCCAGAAATAGACTGAAATCTGCACACAGCGGTACTGCATGTGGTGGTACTGGGAACTGATGTGGTAATGTTGCTTAGAGCAGTTATTCTCAAATTTTAATGCTCTTGTTAATCTCCTGATAATTTAGTTAAAATAGTGGTTCTGGTTCAGCAGGTGTGGAACAAGGCTCGAAATCCCGCATTTCCAATAAACTCCCAGCGATGCCAGTGCTGATCCACAGACTATTCCAGAAGCAGGATGCCATGCACTGTATAAATCAGTTAGCCTTTGTGTATTCTGGAAAAGGAGTTATGGAAATGTAAATTCCTTGCTCACTGAAATGGGAAAACTTGATTGTCAATCCAGTAACTGATTATTACAATTCCGTACTCAAAAGATTATTAGAATAGCAGGTGAGTAGACATTTGTTTTGGATGAGAACAAGTCATTCCATAAATAGACTTGGATAAGAGTCACTAGTCCCCCACTTACCCCTACTCCTAACCACAGGAGAGGAATTTTGGTACATTGCTGTCTCGAGTAGGCACTTCACCTCCACTGAATGGATTGTGCATGCTGATCTGGATTCTCCTGCATATAAGAGAGACCCAGCTGTGGCCAGTGGATGACAAAATCCAGTGTGCTTCATTGTGAACCACAGTACGAGCAATAAAATCACACCTTGGGGTTCTCTGGAGGAAGCCCTGGTGGGTTCTGTGAGGTTTGCTCTAAAAACATTTCCCACGGGTAATGGTGCAGGTTTCTCTGATGTGGATGTAAGCAATTCTCTGATGGAAATGACATTAGAAACTGGTTTGAGTAGGATGGAAAGTAGACATGTTTCTCCCTCTTGTTTCTCTGGGAATGAGGGCTAGCCTGAAGAGCCCAGAGAAGGAATGGTGATGGATGGAAACAGGATGATTAAAAGGGAAGGTGGAGAAAAATGCAGGCAACAGGGAAAGAGGTTAATCCTTTTTTACCTGTTAGTATGATTCAGATGTAAAGTTTGACTTGGCAAAAAGTTTAAACAAATCAGGTTTGGACAAACTGTCAATTCAGTTTCTGGATGCCAATGTCAGTTCAATTTTTGGATTTTATCGTGAACACATCAGTCATTAGGCTAATAGTACCACCAGTAATTACCATGTAGTTCACCATTTGTTTGAAAATGTAAAGAGTAAGACAGGTCAAATGCAAATATACTTGCCCTTTAACAGCAATGTATTTAGTAGAATCACAGCCAACAGCTATTTGGAACACCTAAAATGAAGCAATTTAAGTGGTGAGATGTGTGGTTCTGATTCCCATGAGCTAAAATGTTACTACAGTGAAAAGTGATTACATTTTAGTTTTGAAATAATAACCCTTTAAATGTAGGGTTTTGTTATACTTTTCTGTGCTGTTTTACACCTTCTTTCTGATCACATTTTTTCTGTCTTTTCTTCCTCTTGCCATTACTGCTCACAAGGCCCAAAGGTTAGTTCTCTGCTTTTTGACATCAGTATCTCAGAGAACTAACCCAATCTCATCTTTCAGCAGGACGTCTACCACCATCATCATCGACTGTGTTCTTCCAGCCTGCACCTGACTCAGTGGCAGCTGGAGGGTTTCTGTAATATATCTTGCTATTCGTTTGACCAGAGACCTGGTTCTTCCCTGACTAGGATGCCTATTTCTATTTCCACCTGGTCCAGGACACTTACTGCTGTCTACCCTGCAGGGGTAGACACCCCCAGGCTTCCTAAGTGGGATCTAGACACTTGCTTCTGGTCTTAAACATGTCCTGTACGTTGCATTTCTCCACAATGTGAATCTGAAAAAAACTCTAATACTCCCTACCCTGAAGAAGGATGTGGGGATCAGGAGGGTGGGGATAGGGAACCATGTCCAGACAAGCTTGATGGATTTAAAGAGTTATACCTGCTAAACCCAGACCTTTCTGCCTTCATGAAAAGGCATGCTCCACAGCAGGAGTTCAGGCATTTTGATTTCGGTCCCAGGACCTGATTTGTTCTGTCAGCAACTCTACCCACAGTCCTTGGTGTCCATCATCATCAGATCTTTGTTTGTTTGTTTTTAAAGATTTTATTTATTTATTTGACAGAGAGAGAGAGAACACAAGCAGGGGGAATGGGAGAGGAAGAAGCAGGCTCCCCGCCGAGCAGGGAGCCCAATGCAGGGCTCTATCCCAGGACCCCAGGATCATGACCTGAGCCGAAGGCAGTCGCTCAACCAACTAAGCCACCCAGGTGCCCCAGATCTTTGTTTTCCCATCAGATGTGTTCAGAAGCGTGGGCCTGCCCTTTATTTTTACTAAACTATCCATATGACACCCTTGGTTGACTGAGATCCTCAAATCTTTCAGTCAAGACCCACCATCACTTGATCCCTTCTCTTCTGGCACCCAGTTGACAAAAATCAACAACCACGCTTAGTATTAAAAATCTGAGTTGACCTGCAGGTAGATATCGAACAGAAGCACTGGTAGAGAGTATGGGAAGTGTGAATCAGGCTGTTTTCTAGGTTACCCACTGTGATAGGGCTGACAGTGTACTCAGGACTGGATACCTAATTAGAGAAATTCTGACATACAGCCCAAATGAAAACAATGAGTGCATTCTTGGTCTTCTTTATTTAATATTATTCTCTGAAATGTGGAGACAGGGCAGGACTGCTCTTCACTTAGCCCAGGGTCAGACACAGCACATTCCCCCTAACTGGACAAAACTGAACTGAGACAGGAATTCTAAAGGTCCTCAACACAGAAATGTTGGTAGATAATGTGTTAGGCTGTAGTCATCTCTCCCTGGGAAAATTCATGCTGGAAGGAATTACTAAGGCTTTCTGGGCACTGGCTCACTGGGGTGGCTTCACTGCCGACCATACAAACTACCGGCTGCCGACACAGAGGGTGGCTAGGTTTGAACTGCCCGTGTCTTGGGGTGTGCCGAGCAAGGAAGAGAAGGAACGAACCTGTAGTATTGGTTACTTTGTGACAGGCACTGTGCTGGGCACTTTAATGATCTCATTTAATGCTCTCAACAGAGCAGATAAATACCGTGAGATAGAAGTTACATTTCCCTTTTAGGGTTGAGGCCCCAGAGACTCAGTGTTTAGTAGCTTGCCCCGGCCAGTGGGTGGCAGAGCTCCGATCGGAACTCAGGTTCGATTAACCTGCTTTTGTAATACCGGGGCTGGGCGGAATACAGTGGATGGGATCCCTAACACATCTATTGATTAGGAAAGCAAGGTGCTTCTGGAAGGCGTCTGTACGGAACAAGCAGCTGAAGATGGAGAGCCCAGGCGGAGGCTGGGGAAGAACTGGCTACGTTGCTGTTTCTTGCTTCCTGGGCAGATGAGGCTGTGTGGGCGGCGCGGTGGGCAGACAGAGGGGAGGGGCTGGTGTGCACCTGCAGGGAATTTTCCCGGGGAAGCAGGGTGTGTGTCGGCTGCGCTCAAGCTCGGCTCAGGGCTCCCTCCAAATTCATGGAAGCTTGCCCTGGTAGGAACAGGCTCCTTGTGCTGGGGTCCTGAAGGACAGGGACTGCATATCGTGTACCTTTAAATTCTTCTTGTAGGCATTCCTTGCTGTGTTACGCCTGGTATATAGCAGGCGCTCAGTGTATGCTTATTGATTGATAGTTAGGCTGAGAGGGAATAAAGCGAGGAGGCATCCCTCAGGGTAGAACAGACTCAGGAGAGGTGGTGGCCGGACGGATCTGTGTTCCGTTACCTGGACCCCACACTGCTGTATCGCCACGCTGTGCTTTTGTAGATGCGGCTTCCTGGACTTCCCTTTGTATCAGCCTGCTCACCTTCCACGTACTCTTCAACATTTTATGCCTCACCCTGCCCCTCCCCAGTCAAAAGTGCCCGCTCTTCTGGGCTCTCTGATGACTGTGCATCTCGTACTCCCCTAGAGTAACTTTTGTTTGCCCCTAGGGAAGAGCCAGTCTTTTCATCTTTGTAACTCCCGGTTACCTAGCAAGGAGACTGAAGCTAAGGAACACAGTAGGTACACAATAAATTTTAGATTTTAATTTTTTTTGAATGAAGAAATGATAAATGTAGACCTAACTGGCCGTCTTCTCTGACAAACCATATCCCGCTTGAGTTCCCATTCATTTCAGTTTTCCTTTATACAGTTTTATCTCCAAAATTATTTTCCATTTTTGTATGCGTTTCTACACCTCACTTTCGATGGTAAACGCCAGGAAGATGGAACCGTGGTCTGTCTCCAAAGTGAAATAAGGCTCCCCCCCGCCCCCGTGAGACATGACACACCCCGCCCCAGATGAAGGGAGTGCTATTGCTTGTGAGGATTTTCCTGCCCAACCGCCTGTGGCTTTAGTGAAGTAAAGGTGTTGATCCACCTCTGTCACTTACCTTTTGGGCTATTGGACATGCTCTTGCATATTCACTAGGCCGAACCTGCACAAGCCGAAGGCCCGTGTTCTGGTCTCTAGGAGAAACGGCACACGTGGGTAGTTACAGAATCACAAGGGAGGCAGGCACTGAGTCCGCTTTCCCATAGAGCCCATGGAAAGTCCCATGGACACTGGGTGACGGGACCCCAGGAGGAATTCTAGAAGCCTGGGAGGGGGTGGTGGGGGTGACTGCTCGCTGCTTCTGCAAAGGCATTGGTGCCCTGTGGTCACTCCCTGAAGTCACCCTCACCTCACGGCGGGCTAGTGTAGGGTCGGCCCAATGGGAAACAGAAATGAGTATCTATCATTTCCACCGCCCACCCCCGCCCCGTTTCATTAACACCCTCAGTCCCTTAACATCTCTAACATCAGGTCCTGCTTTCTAATGATCTTAGAAGGCCACAGATGCTCTGTTCTTTCTCTAGCCTCTACGGATCTTTTCCTCCTATTGAAGACACTTTTGGAACCCTAAAGCGGAAGTTATGAGATTAGTTTTCTGAGCCACGTTATGCTGCAATACTATATGGTCTGACTGGAAGCAAAAGTGAGATCAAATTTCTAGGTTCTGAAGTGCATAAGAATCATTTTGTGCTCAGACAAAATGGGAGGGGTCAAAAATCGCAGAAAAACTTTTGAAAGTTTTATTGATACTCCGCCCCCGCTAAGGTTTTTACTTTTTGAAAAAACTGGGGAAAAAGAAACTAACCACAAACAAATGTTCTTTTTCTTCCAATATTTGTCGCATTTTAATATTTATTTATTTGTCATATATTAGGTATAAAATGTAATAAGTGAGGATACAAATAGCACATTTTATATTTTTAAATCACTGTACCATATTTCATTAATTCTAAGATACATATTTTTTCTCATTTAACACCCTTAAAACCAGGAAGCACCTTATAATTATGCCAATTATGGTCTGTCTTCCAGTGTGATGGAATCTTTGATTTGACAAATACAGTAATATAGTCTAGATCTATGAAGGACACTCGAGTAAATATCGCATCTACAATTTTCTATACAATGTTTCTTATAAGAAGGTTTTTTTTTTCCCCCTACTACAGCTGACTTCAAAGCTTTTGGCATTTTTTTCTCAAGTCTTGGACTGACCTGAAGTATCCTGGACAATTTGATATGTATTGGACAGCAATAGAATTCTGAGTAAATATCCACAAAACCAAAAATACCCCCAAGGAACCCACAACATTAGAAGCATCCAGAGAAAAGTTGGTGGGTGAGTGAGGGGGTGAGGCGCGAATTGAGCCTCCCTTGACTACAGTCTCCAGAGCAGTCTTTTCTCTCTCCCCTTCCTGGTCGCTCTCTACCACTTCATTCTGTTGTATTTTCCTTTCCTTTTCTTTTTTTAAAGATTTATTTATTTTAAAGAGAGAAAGAGAGCCGGGGCAGGGACAGAGAGAGAGACAGAATCTCAAGCAGACTCCCTGCTGAGTGTGGAGCCCAACATGGGGCTCGATCCCATGACCCTGAGATCATGACCTGAGCTGAGATCAAGAGTTGGATGCTCAACCAACTGAGCTACTCAGGCGCCCTCCTGTTTTATTTTCTTTACTGCACTTATAACTACTTGAAATTATCTTGTTCATTTATTTGATTACTTGTTCTTTGTCTTCTCTCACTAGAGATATGTCCCATGATGGCAGAACTTCATCTTACTTGTTCACCATGTGTTTTGAGCACCTACAAAGTGCTTGGCATAGAGAGGGTGTTCAAACTCACTTGGAGGAGCAGCAGACTAAGGAAAATGGACTTTTCCCTAGAAAAACAATGCTATTTTTCCAGAAAAATCTATCGAGTCAGGACATAATGATGGCCATAGAATGCCTCAAGACACAATTCCAGGTCAGTTATTTCCTCCAGAAATGATGTGCTCAGGTGCTACCTATTCCAAGAGTCAAAGATGATGTTTTCTCTGATTCTACTCATAGTTAAAGGCCTTCTCACATTAGCGTTCTAGTCTACCCAAGGATAGTATGCAAAGATTTTGGGATGGGAATGAATGATAACACATGCTTGAAAATTACTGAATTAAGAAATAGCCCATTTTTCACTTGATGGAATGAGCACTGGGTGTCATATGCAACTGATGAATTGCTAAACTCTACCTCTGACACTAATACACTATATGTTAATTGATTTTAAATTAAAAAAAAGAAATAGCCAGTTTTTTTTTCATCTTCAATTGGACAAATGGAAACCTCTAGATATGTTTCATTTAATTACAAGGAGTATTTTACACTTTTATACAGAATAATAATTTCATATCTAATCAGACACTTAAAGAAATTTGAAATCTAGATATTTAAAATGACATGAGGCCATGTAAGTAAAAGAATACCTACAAATCAATCATCTCAATAGCACATTTCACATCAAATAGGTTCTTTTAAAAGTCATACTTACTGCAACTTGAAGTAGTCATCTACTGCCTCATAATTTATATTCTGAAAAAATGTTACTGTCTGGAAAAGAAAATGAACGTTTGTGTAAAACATGAAAACTGGGAATGGGGACAATGAATACTTTCAGGACAGATTTAAACCTTTCTCTAGGTAAGAAAAAGAATATATTTAGCATTTTTTCCAATTTCTTTTCTTTTCCTATTTCAGAAACTCCAATTATGGACACATTAAATTTCCTTGTTACATTTTTCTTATTTTCTCTGCTAACTGTATCTTATGAAGTCCTTTTATTTATATTGCTTCTCTCTCCCTCTTCACTTACTTTTGTCATTGCAATATTCTTATTTTCATTTATGTCCTGAAGTGCAGCCAGCTCTCTCCCATTTCCTAATCACCTTGTCTCTGGACCTTTTTATTTCTTCTTTGAGGTTTTTTTAAATAATTACAGATATCATGTTGTCAGTAATTTTTGAGACTATGAGGAATTATTTGCCTGAACCTTCTTCTCTTGCTTTTGAGTAATTAAAAAAAATCCATTTGCCTTTTTGTATATGTTCCTTGCTATTTTCTTCCATCTGGGGCATGTTTCATCTCAATTTTCAGCATTCCAGAAGGTTTCTATCTTTTCAGGATGAAGCCATTTACAGAACATGTGTGATATTAGAGGCAAAAAATTATAAGCCTCACATTTTTAAAGCATGGTAACTATAGTCATTATATCCCCTAAATTACATTTTTGGTGGTAGTTCTTTGTTATATATGTAGATAAATGATAGATAGATGGATAGATAGATAGACAGATAGATATAGACGTCTATCTAGATATCTTCAAAGAGATCAATTTGGTTCTGGCTAATCTGGTGTAATTAGAACAGGGACATTGTGCCTCTAAAATGACCTTTGCAAAAAATATTACTTCTGAGACAAGTTTATTTATTTATATGTTGGATGCTAAGTGGTATGACACAAAATATATAATCTTTCGTGAAAAAGTTGAAGGCTGTGGAGGTCATTATATTAAAAATAAATCTAGTTCATGCTCAAGGAAAGGAATTAATTGTCAAATTTCCACTTGTGTTCTATTGTACACCATATTTTTCTTCATATGTAATTGTTAAAATAACTTTATAAAGATGTTCTTGCACATAATTAGGCCTGAAGATTTTAATATTTTGTGAAATGTAAGCATATTCTTCAAGTTTTGCTTATCAATTGTCACTTAAGTGGTGCTCAAACTTGGGTCTGTAACTCAACCAACATATATGTATATTATTTTGGATTATAATCACTGAAAATATTTACCTAGTGGAACTATTTAAAAAATATATTTTGTGGATGTGATCATCTGCTTAAAAACCATTTCATTATAAATAACTAAGAAATGATTTGGAGATTTTCATTTCTAGGAGCGGCAGGTAGGTTCTATGGACAAACTTTTGCTCTTAAAAACAAACATATAAGCACTGGGTGTTATATACAACTGATGAATCACTGAACTCTACCTCTGAAACTAATAATATACTATAAGTTAATCAATTGAATGTAAATAAAATAAAAACAAAACAAAGCAAACAAACATATCACAAAACCTACAAACAGCAGCCTTTTAAGAGTCACTTTAAAAGCACCAAATAACTGACAAGGGAGTAGGGAACTATTAGCCCAAAGACAGGGAAATTAGGAATCTTGAGAATAAAGCAGAGCACCAGAACCCATAGTCTACTTTTAGCCTAAAGGCATTTGTCAACCTAGTCAAGAGAGAGGGAATTCAAGATAGAGAATCAAATTGGATATCCTCCCTACATTAACCTGTGTTATCAGAAGACTATATTCTCAGGGTAAGAGTAAGTCAGGATTAAATTTGTGCCCTCCTTAACCCTTCAGTGACATCAGTAACTAAGTGATCACAAAAAGCAAGAAAAGTAAAAGTTTGTCCTAACAATTGGTGGCAATGGGTAGGTTCTTGTATGGCTTTATATCCTAGAATTTTTTGCCTGGAAGTCTCAGGGGATTTAAAAAAAGTTCAAGGCAGTAGTGCCCCTAGACATGCCCCTGACAGTGGCAAACACAGATCATCTTAGGATCAGGATATATTCTTATTCCACTTCAGGGAATTCTTATAAATACTTTTACAAAAGATGCTTGGGTGGCACAGTCGGTTAAGCATCCGACTCTTGGTTTCGGCTCAGGTTATGATCTCAGGGTCCTGAGATCGAGCCCCGTGTGGGAAGTTAAAAAAAAAAAAATTTTTTTTTAAACCAGAAGGGACAAATAGAAAACAAATAGTCAAGCGGTAGATTTAAACTCAGCCATATAAAAAAATTACACGAATGCACCCAATGAGAAGGCAAAAATGTTCAGATTGGATAAACAAATAAAATCCAACTTAAAAAAAAACTTTAAAGACACAGATGGTTAATATTAAAAGAATATTAAATATTAAAAAAAAGAAGATACATTGTGCTAACATTATTTTAAAGAACGTTGGAGTGGCTCTATAAATATCACACAAAGTAGATTTTAAAGCAAAAATTATCACTAGAGGAAAAGGGGTCATTTCATAGAGATAAAGGAGTTGATTCATCAAAAGGAAATAATAATTCTAAATGATTATGCTGAGTGAAAGAAGGCAGATAAAACAGAGTACATACTGTATGTTTCCATTTATATGAAATTCTAGAAAAGCAAACTAATGTATAGTGATAGCAAGCGGTTCAGTGGTTGCCTAGTGATGGGGAATGGAAGGAGGGATGGTTTACAAAGGAGCATGAAGAAACTTTGAGGGGTGGACATGGACATTATCTTGATTGTGGGTATAATTTCGTGGGTGAATACATACATCACATTTTATCAAACACATTAAATATATGCAATTTATTGCATGCAAATTATACACAAATAAAACACTTCAAAAAGACAGTCTTTGAGATGAAAAAAAAAAAAATTCAGTGAGAAAAGGCACACAACCCTATAGAAAAAGTGACAAAACTTGAGTTTCACAGAAGTGGGAATCCAAATAGCCAATAAACATGTGGAAAATTGTTTAACCTCATCAATAAGAAGAGACTAGAAAATAAAAAAAATAACACACACACACACTAGTTAGGCAAAAATTAAAGTTTGACTATACCAAATTATTGGCATAAATACTAAAACCTTAAACTTTGAGATGACATCATGGAAGAACATTTTCATGACTTAGGGATAGGCAAAGGTATCTCAGGACACAAAAAGCAACAGCCATAAATGAAAAAGCTTTATCAAAATAAAAAAATTCTACTTATTAAAAGGCACCATTAAGAAAATGAATAGGCAGTGTTCTGGTTCAAGATGGTGACATAAGAGGATCCTGAAATCACTTCCTCCCATGGACACACCAAATTTATAGCTACATATAGAATAATGTTCTCTGAAAGAAACCCCCAAACTAGCTGAGCAATGCCTACACATTAGGTGAAAGAGAAAAAACAAAAACCCACATAGAAATGGGTAGGAGAGGCTGGAACATAGCCTCACCACAAACTTCACCCCCAGCATGGTAACTCAAAATCCTGAGATCTCCCCTGTGAGGAGTGAAGGGTTGAACCCATTTGGCACTGCAACTTTTAAGACCTTACCTGAGAGACAAGCTCCCCAAACATCTAGCTTTGAAAGCCAATGGGGCTTGCTTCCACAAGATCCAGAAGACTATTTTGAACTGAAAAACAGTTCTGAAAGGGCTCTCATGGGCAGACTCATCCACCCTAGGGCCCAATACAAAGCAGCTGACTGAGAAGTACCCAGGCTTTCTGTGAGAGAGGCTTATATGCTTATCAGGCATTGAATTAAACACATGTAGGGAGGAACCTACCAAAATGCTCCAAAGAGGGAGGCCAGTGGTGCCATATTTGTTCTCTCCCTCTGCTTCACTCCAGCCTCTTGCATCTCCCAGAAAGGAGCTTCTACACCGGTCCAGCACCCTGCGTTTTGTGGCTGCTGCTAGATCACCTGGCTCTGGTGGCTGTGGGGCTTGAGCTCGTGAGAACTATACTGGATGTAATGGATGTAGGGGCAAGTCCTTGCTGACTATAACTCCAAGGCACAGCAGAGGCAACAGACACAAATACCCAGTTCTTCTGTGGAAGACACCTAGTAGCTTACCTTCATAGCTCTGGCCTGAGGGGCAGGCTCTCATGAAAGCTCTATGCAGAGCCAATAGTAGTTCTTTCCAGAGACCTCAGAGGGGAAGCACTATCTTTGCAGTCTTGCTCTGCTTTTTTCTAGGCCGCGGGTATTTCCCTAAAAGGAGCTTGTGGACACATCTGGTGCCCTAATTTTTGTGGCTGCTGCCAGGGGACACCCCTGGATTGCCTGGCATTGGGGACCAGAGGGGCTTATGTTTGGACCCACAGGACTATTACAAATGGAGAAACCGTTCTTCACTGATTACCCACCCCTCCCAGGGTGCAGTGCAGTGATGGTAGACTGAAACGCACCCCACATCTTTCTGTGAAAGAGGTCTGCTAGCTTATTTTTATGGCTGTGGCCTGAGGGGTAAGCTTCTAATTTGACACACATTTAAGGGCTGACTACAATCCTCTGTAGAGATCAGAGAGGCCAGGAGGTACACCATCATTGTGCTTCCCCTCTGCCCTGCCTCAGGTTGTTGGTATCTCTGAGAAAGGAAATTATATACATGTTTGGCTCCCTAGCTTTTGTGTCTGCCAACCAAACAGTTCCTTGATGTTCCTTGGTAGCATAGGTCTGGTGGATGGCAGGGCTTGTGTTCATGGGCTCAACGGGATGGTAGTAAGTGAAGAACAGCTCTTACCTGGCTATTAACCCAGGGCTCAACATTGAAGGAGAAGGAGGTATGTTTGTATACTTTAAAAGCTGCTGCATCAGGGTCTGGCTTCATCAGCCTGCATCTAGGTGCTAACTGAGATATTCCCCTTTGAGATGCTGACAGGTCTTGGCACACCATCAAATACTGGGAGCCACCAAGAATAAAGTAGGCTGATTGGACAATCACAAAGATTTGAGAGAGCAAGTTTGAATGATAAGGTTCATCCTCCTACATC